TTTCTTTCTTGTTCTCTCTCTCTCTCTCTCTCTCTCTCCTCTTCATATTTTGGCACTTAGCAATGCATCCAAGCATGTAAGGCAGTGGAAAGCCATAAAAAAAGATATAGCCAACCATTAGAGCAACATCCAACCACTAGGAAACAAGAGACAAATGAACCCTAACTTGCCTTCTTCCTTCTGTCCCTTGTTTCATGTATCTTCTCTCAACTTCTCCCATCTTTATACACCTAATGTCACCTTCTGCCCAGAAATATGTATGTCCCCCTCCCCATGTTTTCTTTTTATTGTTTTAGTTAAAGTGCTTTAAAAAAATATATATTAGATAAATAAGTCAGAAAATAGTCTCATATGGCTAAGAGAGAGATTGAAGAGAGAAGATATCAATCACAGTACAACTTAATTAGATAGAGTTCAGTAAAGTCAAAAATTAATATGGTTTATGAAGAATTTGTTTTCCTCCTCTCCTTATATCGGAATATCACTTTCTATCTTTACAACCTTTTTGCAAGATGTGGGTCATAATTTCAAGCCCATTCACTTGGAACCAATGCAGCTTTGACAACCAATGGATTAGAATAGTACTTTACAGCCTTCAAACCACAAGCACACAATGATTGCAATGATAGGTCATATGTCCATGGTCCATGGTTGCAAGTATTCAGCTTTTAATCCCAAGACCCAACTTGATGTTATCCCCCTTTTGTGTTGTTATTTCCATTTTGTCATCAAACGATATCTCATCATGCTTTGAATCTGAATGATCAAACATCAATCAGACTCTGAAATCAGGCACAAAGATATATATATATATATATATATATATATATATATATATATATATATACACCGGTTTTGGGAATCGAGTCAAAGTCAACCGACATTGGTGGTGTGAGTGTGGATCAGATTGATCCCATCTAGTGGAACACACGAGTAGAAGTCGTAGATTTGGATATGCCATCGAGGATGTATGGTGGTCGCGGACAAGGTGAACGAATTGGGGAGAATAATAATCTCAGCATTTAAGAGAGATTTGATGATGTATTCTCATTCCTTCTTCCTCGTTGGGACCATTCCGCCTCGCTTGTACTCATTCCAAAAGACAAAGCTGCAGTGACCATGCATGGGGCATCAAAAGCGAGCCAATTCGTAAAGGAAACTTGTGGTGGGACAGGCGCTGCGTGTTGAGTTCATCGTCACCTTCACTCGCGGGGGACCGTGCTTTGGACTTTGGCATGCATGGGACAGGCGGGAGGGGGAGACAGCTCGTCCGATTCCGGGCGCCGTGGCTGCTGCTTTATTGGCCGACGGTGGCAAAAGACAAAGGAGGAGCAAGTGGCGCGATGTCTCCACTCCCCAATCCAGAACAAAGACTAGTAACTCCTGTCTCCCCCATGTCCACCACCACCACCACCACCTGCCGACGCATGCAGCGCCCCTCATCCAGTGGTGGGATGCGTTACGGACTGATGTTGGATTGGTCTGGCCGGCACCCCGTCGTTTTCATGTAATGCATGCATCTCGCTGCACAGCTCTCTCGTTGCTGCTGCCATCAGTACTGCTAGTCTTCCTCCACCTTTGACTCCATCAACTGTACCTAAAGCAGAAGCACTGCTGATGGAGGAACGTGGTAGACAGATCATGGTCATCAGCTTTTGCTCATCACGACCGCGAAGGACAGATCGAGTGTGAGAACTCGTCCTGCTACCGGGGAGAGCACACGATGAACCGTGAGAGATGCAAGAGATGAGAGTCGATCGCATTTGATCCCCCATGGCAAAGATGAGAGTCAGTCAATCTCTGAACAGTTGCAGAAACAAGAAAAGAAGACATACAGAAATTGGGAGAAATGGAAGGACGAGCATAATTTACAGCTCCAAAAAAGCTCATCGCTCGCACCAATGCATTCCGAGAGATAAAAAATCACATGTCCACAAGGGGATGGGGGACAGCCTCAGCTCCCTCTCCTCCCTGTATAAAAAGACCAATCCACCAGCTTTTTCCCAGACACAGCCACAGGGAGGAGGAAAAGAAGGCAAGTGCAGCCCCTCTGCAACGCCCCGCCCCGCCCCCCCACCCCCCCAACCCCACCAAGCCCCTATTAGCTGTAGATTCTTTTGCAGCTTTGCTCCCACCTTTGCTTGAGGGCATTGACATCTCCCCGAGCTCTTCCAAGTTCCATCTCTATATACCTCAGCCTCTGTTCCCGACCTCTTCCACTGCATACACTTTGGCTTCCTCAGCTCTGAAATGGGGTTCCCCGTTGGCTACCCTGAGCTCCCTAAGCTCTTCCTCCCCCTGTTCTTCCTCTTGGCCCACCTCAGAAGGCTCATCAACTTGGTCTTCTACTCCCTCGGCCTCGGCAGCCTGCTAGAGTCTGAAACCCAGTGGCATGACGCAGACATGCACCGCCACCGCCACCACCAAACCAGTCTTCACTTGCTTGCAGCTGAGGTGATCCAGGAGAGCTTGCCGGTGGTCCAGTTCGAGGACCTACTCGCCGAGCAGGACGGCGGCCAGTGCTTGCCCGAGGGCTGCGCCGTCTGCCTCTATGAGTTCGAGGGCGCCGACGAGGTCCGGCGGATGGTCAATTGCCGCCACGTCTTCCACCGGCAGTGCGTCGACCGGTGGTTGGCGCACGGGCAGTGCACCTGCCCCTTGTGCCGCGCCCCGCTCGCCAATTCCGACGCCCCTTTCCATCACGACGAAGACTACTGTTACTCCCTCTCGCTGCCGCCGGTGTACGCACTGAGCCCACTTCAGCTGCCTTCCTCGTAGCTGCAGAAGCGATCGGTGAAAGAGCTGCAAGTGTACAGAGGTGATGCTAAATCTGCAAACGCGGAGTTGAATGCAATAAGACAGACGTGCCTTCTTCTTTCCCTCGCACGGTCTTGATTGGTAATGAGGCTTGAGAGAGCAGTGATGGATGTGGATTGGCTTTGGATTGATTGGAGTTTGCCGAGCAGATTTCTTGGGGACAACAAGAGTGTATCCAACATGTTTGGAGAAGAAGTGTGGATTTCGGACTGCCGCTTGAAGAATCTGAAACCTGTTCTGAAGTAGTTCTCGGTTGGATTGGAGGATTGAGAGATAAAGAAGGAAGAATCGAACCCTACATACTGTTATGAATTGACTTTTGTATGTGATCTCTGCTGTCTTTCTTCTGACTTGCCAGCAAAATTTTTGCTTGCTGACTACTGCTTGTAAGATTCTAACTTTGTTTTAATGAGACTGAGAGAGAATGATGCCCCTTTCCAATTCAATCAGCTTCTGCACCCAAATTCTCTTTATGTGGTTATCTTCGATTGATCATAAAGTATGCAAGTTTTCATTTGATACGGCTGATCAAAATTACGATGAAATATCAAAATTATTATTAGCTAAATTAGTTAGCATCTTTTTTTTAAGAGGTTATCTCTTCCAATTGAGTTGTAAAGCAAGTAAAGAAGGACAGTTTACAGTAAATATAAATTGTAAAAAGTAAATACAAATCGAGTTATAATGGTTCGATCGTCGTGATATACATCTATTCCACCGATTCCTCTTTCATCAAGGCTATCGACATCCACTAACAATCTTCCTTTAATAGGCGATTATCAGCCTCCTTCTTACAACTCTATTCTCCTTTTACAGACTTAGGAGAGAATATTTACACCCCCACTTACTCTTCTTTCAAACTATACTAACGCTTAGATCTTTGAGAGGAGTTCACACAAGATTACAATAATGTTTTCTTTCTTTTTCACTCTCAATTCTTGTGTATGTTAACCTAGGATGAGAGGGGTATTTTAAAAATGTCTCATCCCGGGTTTCCTAGGTACGGGTGGTACCATCGTCTGTGCTGGGCGGTACCATTGCTTGACAGTCTCTCGGAGATTGTGTCATGACGGTTTCACCTGTTTGGTCACTATTTGGGCCTTTCTCTTGGCCCAAAATAGTACTATTTTGGGCCAAGTTGACCCCTAATCAAGTTGGTCTAATTACATTCTAAACTGACTCAATTAGACTCTAAATTAACTTAATCTACACATAATTGATTTCAAGCGAATCCTATGTTGTCTGGCATGTCATTGGTTCTTCCAACGCTTCGTTTGATCCTTCGACACATCGTCCTCTCCTTTGGTGTATTGCTCAATCGGTATATTGTCTTCTCGTAACATATGATCTTCTTAGCGCAATGTTCGATCTTCTTGGCCCGATTCCCGAATTTATGGCCTGAAGCCTTATGCTGATACGTCGACCGTTCCTCCGGCCCGACGTTCAATCTTCTGACATGTTTGCTCCGGCCCAATGTCTGATTCCCCCTGCTTTAATCAATTTACCTTTTTTTATTGACGTTAGCCCTACGTTACTTAAACGCATATTAGATCACAAACACTATCAATTAGTTTCCTCGTCAAAATCCGAGATTCGACATATGTTTGATATACCTAAAAAGGCTCAAGAACATGTTCTACACCACAACCAATGTCCATGTTGGCACTCAACGTCCTCATCGTCTATCATATTAGCAGATCATCTTATAGCTTTTAAATAGAGGTTTAGCATCGAAGACACTTTGATGAATCAATTGTCAAACCTTCAAGTTAACATCCTTCCTCCATATTAACACATGGTTGTCGAATAAAATAGATGACTAATTCGGATGAATCAACGGTCACATCAAGCAAACTATGGCTTTACTATAATCATGCCACTATGCATGTGTATATCATTTTCAAGCTTTAATTGTAAATCGCGATGAGTGGACGATCTAAAATCATGCTACTATACATGTATATATCATTTTCAAGCTTTAATTGTAAGTCGTGATGAGTGGATGATCCATGACGATCTACGGATCCGATGGAAACATGCATTGGGTACAGTGGATGTGGAAGCATTTGCCTACATCTTTTTCGATAGCAACACAACATCTAAGTCCTCCATTGATGAGATCCACCAACTAATCCAACCTCCTCGAGGTCTTCTTGTGGTAGTAGCTAGACATTAATGGAGATTGTCTATATGATGGACCAGCCTTTTGGCTTGTCGGGTAGGTGATCACATGCAAGTTCTTGCTGTGCTTGTCCACCGCTAGCCATGGTGAAGGAGGAGATCATTTCCAACAAATCCAGTACTGAAAAGAACAAATAGCCCTTTCCTTCTTTTTATTCACTTCTTCCCCTCCTGAATGAAACTGGAAAGTAATATAGTTTGAGACCCAAACCATGACTACAACATGATGAAGAAGACGAGAGCTAGAAGAACAGTTTGGAGTGAGGCCAAAGTTAACCACCAACATCTCTTTGTTACTTACTGCCTTTCGCCAATCCGACTATTATCAACCTTTTTTTTTTTCCTTTTTTCTTTCCATGTACAATTAATTACACCATTATTTGAACAGCCAAGTAGAGAGCAAATGATAGCTTCACCGGTGAGTCGAATTACCACGTCCGGAAAGTGCTTCATGATGCTGAGGGATCAGCAGCCAATCCATCGATCCTCCTCGTCCCTTCCCATGGGCAGCAGCTGAGCTCGGCACAGTGGGCAGGTGACCTGCCCGATGTCCACCCACTTATCGATGCACCTCTTGTGGAAGACGTGAGGGCAGTTGCCGAGCTCCCTGACCTCGTGCCTCGCTTCCAGGCGCCCCAGGCACACCGCGCAGATGGCGTCGTCTCCTCCTTGGAGCGAGCTCGTCCCGAGGCTGGAGAACCTCACGACGGGGAGGCTGGCCTTGATGACGGAAGGCGGGGTTAATAGAAGAGGCAGGGAGGAGGGCAGGTCGGCGAGCTGCAGCGGGAAGATGAAGTAGTCCTCGTAGGAGGAGCTGAGGCCGAGGTAGAAGAGGGCCATGGAGACGGCGAGCTGCAGCGGGTAGACGAAGTAGTCCTCGCAGGAGGAGCTGAGGCCAAGGTAGAAGAGCGCCATGGAGACGGCAAGCTTGATGTGGTCGACGAAGTGGCCGACGTAGACGAGCCACGGAGTGAGCTGCGAAATTGAGGTAGGAGAGGTATTAGTGCTGATACTGCAAGGGAAGGTTTGGATGAGGAAAATGGACTGGTGGGAGACGACTCTCTCTCTCTCTCTCTCTCTCTCTCTCTCTCTCTATATATATATATATATATATATATATATATATATATATATATATATATATATATAAATAACACGCCTACAGAGAGTAATGAGGGATACGTACGTAGAGACGAGTCCTTATCATTTATACAGTGCCAAAAACAATCAAACAACATATGCACGATCTAATCTAAATAGTGGCTATTAATCGCCGTTACGATGTTGTCTATGAAGTTGTTTTCACAAAATATGCCCCTAAACAGTAAGTCCATAACGAAAGCCGACAAAATAAGAGTAAAACATACTAAAAAGAAAGTCTTGATGTACTAACTAATAGCAGCAGACAAACCAGTCAGTTAGGCACTACTGTTACAGCTTAATCATGAGAATAGTCATGGAAAGAAAAAAAGGAAGAAGAGACTTACATGTACAAGAGAGAGAAGGGAGTGACGGCACAAGTACAAAGCATCTGAAACCCCTACTTCTGAGTACATGCATACCCACTTAACCTATCAAGAAGAAAGAAGCCTTGTGGAAGTGATAATACACAGGACCATAATATATGAAATACTTAGACGGATCATGCTCCATTGTATCCCGAGACATAAAGGTAAAAGGACCACCAAAAGAATTATCCCGAGACACAAAGGCAAAAGGACCACCGAAAGAATCAACCAAGTCACATACCGATCAACGGGGTGGCCTCTTGGTGGCTTTGGCCAAGCAGGGAAGCCTTTAGACGTATTCTCATGGCCAATCGTCGGTTTTGTTCTCTTCCTCAACACAGGTTTAGAAAGTTCATAGGCATCTGAAGAGTCCGGTGGTGTTCTATCTGCATGTGAAAAAGCAAACATGTTCACAGAATCACCAAAATGAGAACAGACGAGATTAGGTGTTCCCTCTTCCTTACCATGAACTAATAACTTGTCAAGTTTGTCCAGAAGAGTGGACCCTAGAATCTTCCTAACTTCAGCCGTGACGTTAATTGCATGCACAACTGCCTGCAGAAAATGGTCTGTGGTCTGTAAGTGATTCCAGAAAAGAAAAACATCAGCATACTTTTATTTGTTTATGAGTAATGATTAAAGATAATTCATCACCTTCATAATTGCCACCATGTGTTTGTGGCTTTCACAACTGCTTGATTTATGTTTTGTACTGAAAAGTAACTTAACTTTGCATCCGCGTCGCAAACGGATTCCTCTTGCTGCTGTACCCATTTTTGCAGATTCGTTTGCAATTGGAGGGTGGTGTGCTTGCCGAGTGCCAATATTGGTACCTCTCCCCACGTTGTGCATTTTATATTTCACCAAATCCGATTCTTTTCTGCTATCAGAACATAATACCTGCAATTCCTTTAATGTTGCCTCCCTGTTTTTGTGATCGCATTTACTGATGTTAAATTCACCATCAAAACTAGGCAAAGGCATGTTTGCGACTGGACTTTGCAAATGAATCCTTCTTGCTGCAGTTCCCTGAGTCGTAGATACATCATCTGGATTTGGAAGTAGCTGGAGCCCACGAGATCTGATCTCGATTCCAATCTCCTCAAAGTTATTACCATCTCCAGCAACAGTCTCCCGGTTGCTTGTGTTCTCCGTGCTATTAAACAAACCTTGCAAGGATTGTGAAGTAGGCACAACTGAATAGACTCCTGCAGTGCCATGATAAGGAGGCAGACTTGCATTTTCGGTGTTCAACTGAGGTGCTGGATTAGTAGACTGATTAGACGTTCCACATAACCAATCCGAAGATTGCATAGTTGCCGCACTCTGTATTAATGAACACCGTTCTCTGTTGAGCTCTGCTTTCAAGTAATCATTCAGAGAATCTTGTTCAGCATTATCAACAGGAAATAATTCATTATTGATATCACCAAAAAAAGGATAGTCTGTGTAAGGCAACATCGGAGAACTGATGTTTGGAAAATTATCATAGTCTATTGGCTGGCACCCTGGGTCGCATAACTGGTCCAGAACATCTTGCAGATTGTCAAACTGCGATTTTATGTAACATGCTTTGTCTCATAACAAGGGTAAAAATCAAACATAATATATGCACGACTAAAGCTTCAATAGAACTCACCTTCTGTCCGTCTTCAGCCACTTGATCATGTAGAGCCAAATAGCAGCAACGCTCATCAGGATGTGCAGAGTAATTTGTTGAATGATCAGGCATATCAGCAAGACGTTTATTGCTAACATCTGGTTGCTTTTCAACAGGATCAGCTAACGATTCAGATTCTTCTGGTACATCTGATTTTGGAGATCCATGGTTCCGTGGAGTTCCAATTTCTTCCGTAGCATATGTTTCCCATTGGGTATCATCTGGAAAGTATTTGGTATCATCCCGGGAGTATTTATTTGTAGTCGGAGAGAAACCACCTGGCTCCATTTCATCAATATTGGAGCTTGAACAGCTTTCTTCCGGTTTCTTAAATAAGCGATAAAGAACATAACCACCCTGAACAATTGACAAATTATAAAATAAATATCCATGAAACACAGCCATGATACATATTGCAGCCTCGATTACCACATGATCAAACTATAATCTGAAAGAACTAAATCCAACAGGTCCGCAAAGTTCAGACCACAGTAAAAAGAAAGATAGACCAGCATAATGAATACAATTTCCAACATATTAATGTGATGTTTAAATTTAACTATCTCAGGAAACTCTACCTCTAGAGTCCAACAAAGGGTAAGGTCATAGAATTTTAAACAAAATGAATAAAATGCAATTCACAAGGTCATAATTTTTTTTTGCTCCTGACAAATTTGATATCTGTGTCAGTTACAGATATACAATCTCAATGAACTACTTAAGATCCTCATAGCTGCACAATAAAATATCAATCCTATCAGACGAAAAAGGCACACTTGTGGCTTCTCTCATGAATTACTGGGAAATGATGGCCTAAGCGTCAGCACTGCAATGACAAAGTTTCACATATAGAACCTCCTCCGACCTAAACATCAACCAATACATGGCCTGTTAAAGATTTCCATGTAGCAATGTTTGTTTGGATTGACAATGACCTACAAGAAACACTTTATTGGCCCATCTGCGCACTTAAAATTCTATCAAGAAAAAACATGTTATAGCGTGACTTGCTAAAACAAAAACATGAATTTCCCATTTACCAGTTGAAAACGAGCAGCAGTTTATATAGA